TAACATCAGTTGTGTTTTCTATTGAGTCATCTGTAAATAATTCCCAGTTGGTCGTACGAAACATGTTTTTTAAATTTTGTAAATTTTCTTCTGAGTAATTCATGTATATTACTTTTTTGGTATGGTGTATGTGTGTACTCTTTCCATGTTTACCATATATATTTTAGGTAGAACACGAATTATACAATGATCCGAGCTAGACAATGGAGCACGTTTGCGAGTCACATAGGTCAGTCAGTTCAGTCAGTTACAACGTAGAACTTCGTACGTACGTACATCAGTTCTAGTTGCCATACCACATTAGCACAGATAAAGTTATCGATTCAAATCCCATAGTGGTAGAAGTAGTAAGAGTATAAGTATTATGTGAAAGGTAAGGGTTTGAAGATGTTATTGAAGGAGTATAATACGGTGAAATAAATTTGGAAAGAGAAAAAGGATGGGTACATGAAGAATTCAGAAGATTAGAATTTGAGAGAACACAAAGAGTGGATGCACCTTCACCATTGCAAACGATTTTGAGCCATGTCATTCAAGGTCTCTAACCGTCGGTTGCAATCATCTCGCGAATCTTAACCAGGTAGTCTACACCTACCAACATGGCTCAGTTCAATTGTCAGTGACTACATGGATTTGTGCCATGTTTTAGTCTGGCCACCCCTAGCAATCCTCCAACCTGCTCCTACACCATAAAGCATTGCACGTTGGGGCAGTCGGTGATTGAGCATATGTATTACGTGTCCCAGAAAATTGAGGATATTTACAGCATTTCATGATGGTCTTGGGCCTTTAGAAGGTCCTGGAACTCTACTAAACATAGTAGTAGGATATGTAATCATCTCATCAGAAATATAACAGTCAGTCAGTCAGCGACAACGTAGGACCAGGCAAATATATGCATCGGTCCAAGTTGCCATACCTCGTTAGCACAACAAGATGAACACCGGATTCATAGAAGTAATTAATTTAGTGGTGGTAGTATATAAAGAAAGGTTGTATATAAGGATATAATATAGGAAGGAAGAACGTTATGAAGCAATTTCAATCTCAAGGTTTAAGGGAAGATAAAGAGTGTATACACCTACGCCATTGTGATCGATTCTGAGCCATGTCACCCAGAGTCTCCAACCATTGGTTACGATAGTCACGTGGACCCCAACCAAGTAGTCTGCATCTACCAACATGGCTCAGACTAGAAGTTAGTGACTTCAAGCACTGATGCCATGTTTTGGTTTGGCCTCCCCTAACTCTCTTCCAACCATTCCCCACACTAGTCAGCATTGCGCGTCGTGGTAATCGGTGTTCAGGCATACGTAACACGTGGCCCAACCATCTCAGTCGATGAAGATTCATCACCTCATCAACTGATTTACCATCATTCCCTAATACCCTGTGTCTAACCTCACTATTACTTACCTGGTTATCCCAGCAGATGCGAGCAATATTTCTAAGACATCTGTGGTCAAATACCAGTAGCCTACGAGTATCTTCTACTCTTAATGGCCATGTTTCGCAGCCGTAAAGTAGAACAGAACGAACTATTGCGCAGTATACTCGTCCCTTAATTGATAGACGTATATCTCGTCTTCGCCATAGGTGACGTAAGTTGGCAAAGCCAAACGAGCTTTTTGAATCCGTGCTGAGATTTCGTCAGACACCAACCCATTAGGGCTGATCAGACTTACAAGATAAGTGAAGTTGTCCACGTGTTCGACTACTTCACTCCCTATCCTTAGTTTGGGTGTCGACGCAGGCCAGTCCTGGAGTAACAATTTACATTTGGATGGGGAGAAACGCATCCCAAACATCCTGGCATTATTACTGAGTTCCAACAGAAGACTCTGCATTTTGCCAGCGTCTTCACCAAACAGGACTATGTCATCTGCGTATTCTAAGTCGATAAGTGAACCTCCTGGTAGAAGATCAACTCCTGAAAATTCAGTCGACGAGAGTGTTATTTCCAGCAACAGGTCTATAATGAAGTTAAACGAAAATGGGGATAGTGGACAGCCTTGACGGACACCACTTGAGGTTGTAAAATCATATGACATTTCGCCATAAGCTCTCACTCGACTGGTAGTGTTCGAGTAAAGAGCCTTCACAAGGTTTATGTACTTCTCAGGTACACCTTTTAATGACAGACACTGCCACAGAACCTCTCGGTCTACAGAGTCAAATGCTGCTTTCAAGTCAAGAAAAACTATCATTGTCGGACGCCGATAAGCGTGTCTGTGCTCTAAAACTTGACGAATGGTGAATATGTGGTCGATACAGCCACGACCAAGTCTGAAGCCAGGCTGATTTTCTCGTGTTTGCAGTTCACGAGTCTTAGTTAGGCGCCCGATAATTATTGAGGCTAGTATTTTAGATGCTATGTTAGTCAGATTAATCCCTCTATATATTATTATTATATATTGGGACAATCAGTGATTGTGACCAGTCGGATGGGATTACATCCGTCTCCCAGATTTTAGCCAGAATATTAGTCAACCTAATCGCTAAAATTGGACCACCATATTTAAAGATATCTGGAGCCAATCCATCAGACCAGCTGCTCTTCCTCGTTTCAGATTAGTTATAGCCTTTTGAACTTCAAGTAGGGTCAGGGGGCCTACTTCAATGTTCCATTCAGGTTTTCTAGGAATAGTGGGTAGTTGTGCAGTAGCTGAAGGTCAACTAAACTGCTCCTTAAAGTGTTCCGCCCATCGTTCTAAACGCCTGGGGTGAGACCAGATAAGAGTTCCGTCTTTTTCCGAGATTGTCTCACTTACAATTGACTTCTTAATTCCGGTTTCTTTTATTAGTCTGAATAGTTGCCTGGTGTTGCCTACAGCCGCTGCCTTTTCCATCTCTTTTGATTTCGTTGCCCACCACTGCTCACGATCGTTCCTTAGACTTTTAGTTAACCTAGATCTAATTTGTTTACGCTCTTCGTCGTGTTCAGAGCCTGATGGGATGAGTTTACGCGAATCCATCAGTGAAATAGACTTAGAAGAAATCCACTGCTTTTTTGGAGCCTTATGGTTTAAATAACGAATAGACGTTACTGCTGTTTCCACAGCTGTTCGTGTCTTTCCAAGCAGCATCTGGGTCAGTCTTGTTTACAGAACTGCCTAGATGTGAACTCAGTTGTTTCTGGAATTCGCATTTGGCTTTCTCGTCCTCCAGTTCAATCCTAACGGGTCTTCTTAGTGTACTTTTCCTGCGTCCATTGAGGCGCAGACAAATGCGCGCTCGTATTAAAGCGTGATCAGAGTCTAAACAAGTATTCCAATACGAGCGACAATCTTCTATTGAGCCTCTCCAACGATGACTGATGACAATATGGTCTATTTGAGTCCATCGTTGGTTTGGTGCAGGTGGTCGCCATGTTAGACGATGTCTCTCCTTATGTTTAAAATTAGTGCTTGCTAAAAATAAACGATTGTCTGAGCATAGTTGCAACAGACGATCATCATTATCGGTTCGTTGAGCCGGAATACTAAAACACCCACCTAAATGTCTTTCTGTTTGATTTAGTCTGCCTACCTGAGCATTAAAGTCACCCGCTACGACTACTATGTCTGAGCGCTTAGCTTTCTGAAGAAGCCCAGAGAGCTTTCTGTAAAAGTTATCTTTCACTTCATCATGGCTGCACTCAGTGGGAGCATAGGCAGAAACGACGAAAAGGCAACGACGTGTGTCCCTATCCTTCCGAGTTCTTACGGAGCCATTTAGCCGGACAGCACACAGGCGACTGTTAAAGGGGATACATTATAGTAGTGCCTGTTCTGCCCTTGTACTTAGTGCTATGCCTACACCTGGAAGTTCACGAGAACAAGCCAACGGGTCGCCAGGTACACAGAGGGTATATTTCGTTGGCTGTCCATTTTGGTGAGGTGAGGTCAAGTGAATGACCACACTGGGATCCGGTATGCGTGTTTCGAAGACACAGCATACATCAATGGTACGAGATTCTAGGGTTTTAGCTAAGGAGGCCTGTTGACCGATTTGACTTAAAGTACGCACGTTGAAGGCTCCAATGTGTAGTTTGGAGCGAGGTTTCAGTAGACCTGGGACAGCGTTTCGCGCACTAGAATCGTTGGCCATGGTGACACTTGAGGAGGAAACCGGAAGAAGAAGTTTAGTGTTGAAAGTCAAGGTAGAAGGAATAGTAGGAATTGAAGGAGTTTGATTATGAATACAGTGGTCTTGAGTGCTATTAGAGGTATGAGGGCAGTTATCACTTCCCAGTTGCCCATACCGTTGAATAGTTCTTCTAGAGGTACATGAAAAGGAAATTGGGTTAGAAGTGGTCTTGATGACCTGAGAGCGTGACCGCAGTGCCCAAGGGACAACTGCTTGAGGTCGGTCACACACGACCTTTTTGTGGGTAGTTTTTGTGTTAGCTCGGTTCTTCAGAGGACCTTACTGCCGGAGACGGATATCCGTGGGATAAGGCGAGGTGTGTATTTTTAGGGTCGACCTTTTCTAACCCCACTCCTCCTTGTGGGAAGGCAGCATCGCTGTCATGCTGGTTGTCTGAAGGAAACACCTTACTGCTGTCACACCTCTGTACAGTCAGCAGTACGACTTCGCCTTCGGACCTTGGGATTACTGCTTTTAGTCTCACCGCTCTTCAAACGACCTGTCTGGCATGGTAGGACCATGAGGAACGATTGTTCCAGCCAGTATAGCTCGATTGAATCATCACGATAGGCAAGCCCGAAGACCACGTCAAGGTAGCAGCAACGGTCGGGTTCCAGTACAGAAAGTGAATACATCTACGGTGTTGCAGCCGATTCGAAATAATAAGATTTGACCTCAAATCTATTGTAATGGGAACCGCTAAAACTCTTAAATTGGGTTTTTTTCCAAATAGGGACCCAACCCTTCTTGGTTTTGAATAGTTCATAATGAAAAATATTTCCCTTTCTTCTTCATTTGTAACTAATAAAAATTTATAACCACCACAAGACATTTAAAAAATTTAAACGTGACACATATGTGTACACACATACTTGATCATCTTTTGTTAAATCAGCCAGCGAACGCATATCTGAATCGGTAGCTCTTTTTTGTTTAGTTTCTCTTCCTAATGTTGCATTACTGTATAAACCATATCCTGCCGTAACAGCATTACCTGCTGCAATAGCCTGTTTGTAAAGATTAGGAGCTAACGAAGCTGGAGGTGTAGCACATCTTCTCAATGGAGTTATTGGCTTCGGTGGATTTGAATGAGTCATTGCATTGACAACAGCAGCAGTTGTATTATCTGAAGTCTCATCATTATATACTCGATTGGCTGCTAGACGTAGACGAGAAACCATACGTGATATATTCGATATCTGTAATCCAAACAAATAAAATGAAACACGAAAAAGAAATATATAATCAATAGGGGGTAAGAAGGAAAATGTAACTTTAAGTTGTAATGAAGGTATATGTGAATGATAAACAAGAAATCTAAGTAGAAACAATCTTTGTAATAATAATGATACTCATGGTAAATTTGAGAATACGCGTGGATTCAAAGGGCAGATTTCAGGTATGATTAATAAGAAAATTAAAGCATTTCTAAAAAGAAGCTTCCCTGCAGCCCAACTATTTTCAATATATGACACTACATGTACCTGAAACCAATCAAAAGTGAATCAATACACTTCTGAGATCACCTTCAAATGTATTTATGAATTCACAGGTAGATGTGGAAGGAAGTACACAGAAAGGACTGAAGGAAGGACATTAACAGTTTTCTGGACACGTTCCTGCAAAGTTGTGTCTGAAAGGAAGTAAAGCAATGAGTTGGTGCAGAAAATTTGTAGTTCAGGTAGATGATTTTGATGGAGTTTTGTTCTCTAAGCTGAATGGTCTGGTCGTGGAGCTTCCATCGTTATTTTGAACAACATCATTAGCACAAAACGTCAGGTAGAAGTGAAGTGTTTGTGCTGATGATGTCGTTCAAAATAACGATGAAATCTCCACGACCAGTTCACAGAAAACTCCATGAAAAAGAAGTAAAGTATTCACCATACCGATCACTATATATTTAATGGATAGCGGAGACAATGTGGAATTAACGAATGTATTTAAAATAATTAGCAATTAGCAAACAGCATTTTTACTTAGCTGTAATCTGTTTTTTGATCGTTTCTGATCTATCCCTTTCTTTACCTGGCTTCAAAAAGTTACTAACACCAAATAACACATCTTTCATTTTATTTGTGCATTTTTGCCGATTGAATAATACCATACATATTCCCCAAACTGGACGGACTAATAAAATATTTCGGTTCTACTTACTAAGTTTTAGTTCTTGAATATGAACTTTAATTAAATAGTATTGATTTGTTGGTTTTGCTTTCATGAACCGATAGGAAAATTTGAGCATTTCTGAGTTAAAATGTTGTGATTTCAAAGATATTGAAACAAGATCATCTGTTTAATTGATAAAACTCGCAAATTTGACTATGCTTGTTAGAGTAATTAGAATATTTTGGGCCTGAAGACAGTGTTTGCGTTTATATGGGTGTGAGTTGTAGTCAGTTACCATTCTCTGAATGATAACTGATTGTAGAAAATATTTAAACTTAAACATATCTTGAAGGGCATGTGATCTTCGTGGAATATCTTTTTTTTCAGTTCATTCATACATGACTGCATTGTACCTATAAGGTTGACAGCCTGATGTGAGTGATCTAGAGTTGAGAGTCAGATGACTGTGAAGAAGAGACTTTTAAAAGATTTTCTAAATATTCCTTTTGATCAATGTTTATAAGTATTCATTTACCTCTAATTTATCTGTTGTATCCCGAAGAGAATTGTGAATGGTAACTTTTGAGGACTAGTTATGGACCAATGTAATATATATTTCCTATTGTATAATTGTCAAGTAACTAAACTATTCATATTCGTGTTCCTCTTACCATAAGCTTTAATTTGACCCATAGACTATTATTATACAATTTACCATTCTTGAGTTATCCCCAGTCTATTGATTACTGTTCCCCCAATTCACAGCCATATTTGGCTAACTCTTGTACATATGTTATTTTCTATTTTATTGATACGTTGTTGTCAGTCTGTTTGGTATATAAACTCAGTATGTTTGAAATACAATGATTCATACCACAGAGGCTGTTCTGGACTTAACTGGCTAAGCTAGGCAGAAAGCAGGACCGATACGTACTTTAGCATGCTCGTGCAGTTTTCGTGTCACTGTTGAAATCGATAATTCCCTGCTCTCTGATTGGCGGTCTTATCACGTCATACATTAACTGGGCATCCACTCGGCCACAAGATATAACATTATCATATATATATGCAGTTATACATTGTTGAAAATGAACTCAGGAAAGAAGTTTATTTCCTACACAGTTACGTTTGTTATCTTAAAGAAAAAAAGATCGTTTAAGACCTTATTAACTCAATCGGAATCTTCGCTACATCATGATACACATTCATCTGTAATCACCTTCGTATTTAGGAGTATGTCAATTTCTGTGATAAATTTGATTTTAAAATTTTATAGGCTGTGAGCAGATGAATGAGAACCGAGCGAAATAATATAAATTCATATTATTCTACACCAATTATTGCTTCTTCTCTCTTCAAAAGGAATTTGTTTGTTGAATAAGTTACTCCGCAAAGAAATATGTCTTCTAATGTTAAGTAAAATCTTGTATATGTGAGATATGATTGCTGGTGGTGGATTACAGGTACTGATCAATAAAGGGCCGGAAACGTTGAAATTATAAGTAGAACTTTAGGGAATAAAAGCAAGTCAGTCAACAGAGCTGTAAATCTTCGGTAGGTAAGGTATATACCTTAAAAATTTGGAACAAATGTACATCACAAACCAAATTTCAACAGTTTACATTACAACACTACAGAAAGAAATTATCGAGATGATTAGTTAAGGTAGGGAAGTAACATCAATTGTACAGGGAAGATAAGCACGTGGGATACTGTCCATTCATCTGGTTGTTGATATTAAGGGTTTATTTTTTATCAGCCTTAATCACTATACGTGCATCCTATGAAGATGGCCTTGATATGATAATTTGTAACAAAATAATTTAAACCCTGTTTATTAATAATATAAGTCTCCACATCACTGTTGTTTACAAAATTGAGAGGACGAAAAGCGAATGCCTAGCGCTTTAACCGGGTTGATGGACATGGAGAGTCCACCTAGGGGAGTTGGAAAACCCTGATAATATAAGTATCTCTACAACCATATAGCAATATTAAGGTAAATTTATGTTTGACTTAAAAATACCAATTAAGATATTTGACAGTATCAAAAGTCAAAAAATGGAATTAACTATCCAATCACAGTTAAATGAATGAATTGGATCGATGGGCAGAACACTTTAGGGATCAGTTCAACTGGCCCTCAGCCACACTTCAATTACCCACGATCCTCAGTCGTCCTGAATGGCAAATTGAGGTAAGTCCTCCAACTCTCTACGAGGTTGAAAAAGTTATAGGAAATCTGAAGCGAGGGAGAGCAGCAGGCCCTGACAGGTTGACCCCTGAGATTTTTAAGGATGATGGTCCAGTACTAGCAACGAGATTGACTGAGGTCTTAGGTAGAATCTGGGCACTGGACGTAATTCCATCTGACTGGTCCCAATCACTGATTGTGCCAGTCTATAAGAAAGGACAAAAGTCCTCCTGTGACAATCACAGAGGAGTCAGTTTGACTAATATAGTGTCTAAAATATTAGCTTCAATAATACTTGGGCGCCTAACCAAAGCTCGTGAAGAGCAGACTAGAGAAAACCAGGCTGGTTTTCCACCTGGACGTGGTTGCATAGACCAGATATTCACTCTACGTCAGGTCCTAGAACATAGACACAAATTCAGACGTCCCACAATAGTAGTATTTCTTGACCTGAGGGCGGCGATTGACTCTGTTGATCGTGAGGTTCTATGGCAGTGTTTGTCACTGAAAGGAGTACCAAAAAAGTACATTAACCTCATAAAGGCTCTCTACTCGAACACAACTGGTCGAGTTAGAGCCTATGGCGAACTGTCATCAGAATTGGTTACCTCAAGTGGTGTTCGTCAGGGCTGTCCACTCTCCCCATTCTTGTTTAACTTTGTCGTTGACACGCTTTTAGAGGTATCACTTTCATCATCTCAATCTCCTGGAGTTGAACTTTTACCAGGAGGCTCACGACATAGTTTTATTCGGTGAAGACTCTGACAAAATGCAGAGTCTTCTGACCACTATAAGCCACAATGCAGACATGTTCGGGATGCGATTCTCTCCCTCGAAGTGCAAAATGTTACTTCAGGATTGGGTTGCAGCGACACCTGAACTAATGATAGGGAGTGAAGTAGTTGAGCGTGTTGACAGCTTCACTTATCTTGGGAGTCTCATCCGCCCTTGTGGTCTGGTGTGTGACGAAATCTCAGCACGGATACAGAAGGCTCGTCTAGCTTTCGTCAAATTGCGTCATTTATGGCGTAGGCGAGATATCCGTCTAGCAACCAAAGGACGGGTTTACTGTGCAGCAGTTCGCTCCGTCCTACTTTATGGCAGTGAAACATGGCCAATAAGAGTAGAGGATATTCGTAGGCTACTAGTATTCGATTATAGGTGTCTTCGAAGCATTGCTCGTATATCCTGGGACCACCGGATAAGTAATGCAGATGTTAGGAAACGGGTACTAGGTAAGGATGGCGAATCGATTGATGAAGTAGTGAAACTTTATACGTTGAGATGGCTGGGACATGTGTTACGTATGCCCAACCACCGACTGCCCCGACGTGCAATGCTTTATGATGTAGGAGCAGATTGGAAGAAAGCTAGGGGCGGCCAGACTAAAACATGGCATAAATCCATGAAGTCGCTGACAAGTCGACTGGGCCGTGTTGGTAGGTGTAGACTACCTGGTTGGGATTCGCAAGATGATAGCAATCGATGGTTAGAGACCTTGAATGACATGGCTCAAAATCGTTTGCAATGGTGAAGGTGCATACACTCTTTGTGTTCTACCAAATTCTAATCTTCTGAATTCTTCATGTACCCATCCTTTTTCTCTTTCCAAATTTATTTCACCGTATTATACTCCTTCAATAACATCTTCAAACCCTTACCTTTCACATAATACTTATACTCTTACTACTTCTACCACTATGGGATTTGAATCGACAACTTCATCTGTGCTAATGTGGTATGGCAACTAGAACTGATGTACGTACGTACGAAGTTCTACGTTGTAACTGACTGACTGACTGAATGAGTGAATGAATTAGTAAGCAGTCTAGCAGATGACGTATTGACATTTGAGACGAAATGTACTGAGTTCAAGTCTTACTAGGAATAACAACATTAGGATCCAGGTACATCCATATGATGAGTACTGAATAGAGAGAAACTTGTGTGTTCTCGATTACAATGCCAGTAGTCACTATCCAACTTTATGAAATGTTACAATTTAATAATTAGAAAGAAGAAATTCATCGAGAAAATAAAGATAACTATCAAGACTTACCAAAAATGACCATAAATTTAGTAGGTAAATCTTATCCCATGATAACACCAAAATACTGAAACGACTTTGATTACCACGCGCACGTGAATCATTCAAAGGGAAATTATAACTTAAAACATGACCATTTATCTCATCACCAAAGTAAAATGCACCAACTTGACCTGGGCAAACCTACAAAAAATTACATTATTATACATAATGTGATAATAATACGGTTATAAATTTAAGATGAAAATGTTTCACATATCCAAAATTATTAAGAACGAATAGTGGACAGATAGATTTATTGATTATGGAATAATTGAAGTTTAGATTTCACTACAATGTTCAACTAGAGGTAATGATTTCATGCTCTGAAACCAAAACGTGGCATCAGAACATGAAGTCACTAACTTCTAGTCTGAGCCATGTTGGTAGGTGCAGACTACTTGGTTGGGGTCCACGTGACTATCGTAACCAATGGTTGGGAACTCTGTGTTACATGGCTCAGAATCGATCACAATGGCGTAGGTGTATACACTCTTTATCTTCCCTTAAACCTTGAGATTAAAATTGCTCCATAACGTTCTTCCTTCCTATACTATATCCTTATATACAACCTATCTTTAACATATTAACACCACTAAATTAACTACTTCTATGAATTCGGTGTTCATCTTGTTGTGCTAATGAGGTATGGCAATTTGGACCGACGCATATATTTGAATGGTTCTACGTTGTAGCTGACTGACTGTAAAAGTTATGACTTTTTTAAATATAAACTCAACAAAAATTATTTATAACACATTTAAAAGTGCCATATGTTTGACCTGTGGGATCAATAAGATGACTTTAAATGAAAGGTTACATACTGCCCTGTTTATGGTCATTTTGCTAGTCGATGGAATCCATGGTGAACACAACCAATTAGTGTCACCAACTTCAGACCTCAGCTTTAGAAGCCTGAATAAATTTTACAATTGTTAAAAATGGTTCCTGGGCTGAAAACTGTCTGCTAACGCTGGGACTGTGAAAAAAGGTGGTCGGATTATGACACGGTATCGAGGGATGAAGGATAGTTATGTAAAGATGGAATCTGTCGGCCCATGACGATTGCTTTATCGGGGTCCTAATAGGTCGAGTTTTCAGATGGTTCAGAATCAAAGATAATGGAGTTTTCATTGCAATTTTCTACAGCGTTCTTCATTTAAGTATCTTTGTTATATGCTTAAATAATCTATGGCTTATAAAACACATCTTAGTTCATGTATTTATTGATCAGACAACCTTCTTCTCTATTATGTTTTGGAGTGTTCTACTATACCAAAATTTATGGCTTAGAAATAAAACATGTGGAGAAGATTTGTAGCTCAGGTGAATGATTTTGATAGAGTTTTGTTCTGTGAACTGAATGATTCGTTCGTGGAGCTTTCATCGTTATTCTGAACGACATCATCAGCACAAACCTCAGGTTGGAGTGAAGTGTTCGAATTTCTCCACATATGGCTTACAGCTTGTCCTGTAGACCTTAATGTTGACCGGCTATTATCGACCTGTAATTGTTTACATCTTCATTTTGATTGTATCTCCCATTGATTTGATTTTTGATCCTATATTTGTCTATACTTTACCAACCAATCAGAAAAATTATGGACAAATTAGTTCTTATTCAATGGAAAACGCAAGAAAAAATGATTCTCATGTCTTGGTTAATTATTATCGCCTTTATCTCAGATCCGTTCCATTTCCGTGTTAATATTTCATTCATTAGTTAGACCGATGTACAGTTACTCAGAATGCTTCATAAACTATATAGACTAAAGACATATGGAAAACTTTGTTGCTTCATGCTAATGAATACTAACTCCGCCTGTAGCTCCTCTGGGGGTTACTGCCGGTCACAAGCCCGGGTAAAGGAGTAGGGTTGGGCATGGGGTTAGCGACCCCATCCCGTAGAAAATCAACTCGCTAAAAAAACGCTAACCAGAAAAAATCATTCAAACCATTTAAACTCTGCCCTGGGAGTTAAAGGAATAATTATGACGTCTCATGATGAAAGCCGAGTTCATTCGGAAGTCATGAGGCCGATGCACCTTCTTACAACCAGAGCAACAATTTTTATAGGTACATGGAATGTCCGGACAATGTGGGAGACCGGAAGTCTTCCAAATTGCTGCAGAAATGAGAAAATACAACCTGGAGGTGCTTGGAATCAGTGAAACGCATTGGACGCAGGTTGGACAACAACGACTGTCTTCAGGAGAACTTCTGTTATACTCCGGTCATGAAGAAGAAAATGCCCCACATACACAAGGAGTTGCATTGATGCTGTCCAGAAAAGCACAAAATGCACTTATAGGATGGGAATTTCATGGACCAAGGATCATCAAAGCCTCCTTCAAAACAAAGAGAGAGGGCATTACAATCAACGTCATCCAATGCTATGCGTCGACCAACGACTACGATGAAGACGCTAAAGACCAATTCTACGATAGGCTGCAGTCGATCTTCGAGAAGTGCCCAACCAAGGACCTGACCATTCTGATGGGAGATTTCAATGCCAAGGTTGGAAAGGACAACACTGGATACGAAGACGTCATGGGACAACATGGACTGGGAGGAAGGAACGAAAATGGTGAGAGATTTGCAAACCTATGTGCCTTCAATAAACTGGTCATAGGTGGCACCATATTCCCACACAAAAACATACACAAAGCCACTTGGATTTCACCGGATCATACTACACAGAATCAAATCGACCATATCTGCATCAACAAAAAATTCAGGATTACGATGGAGGATGTGAGAACCAGAAGAGTAGCTGATATAGCATCCGATCATCATTTGCTGGTCGCCAAGATGAAACTAAAACTCAAGGAGCACTGGACAACGGCGAGCACAAAATCACAAAAGTTTAATACGGCCTTTCTTCGAGGTGCTGACAAACTCAACAAATTCAACATAGCCCTCAGCAACAGGTTTCAGGCCTTTCATCATCTACTCAATGGAGAGGGAACTACCATGGAGAGCAACTGGAAAGGTATCAAGGAGGCAATCGTTTCAACATGTCAGGAGGTATGATACGACAAAGAAACTTGCTGGAAATTACCGTAAGCCAGAAAGACCAGTGAAATGCAAGGAAGGCAAAGTAATCACCGATATTGAAGAACAACGAAACAGGTGGGTAGAACACTTCAAGGAACTCTTGAATCGACCAACTCCACTGAACCCACCCAACATCGAAGCAGCACCCACAGACTTCCCAATCGCTGTTGGCCCACCAACAATTGAAGAGATCAGCATGGCCATTAGACAATTCAAGAGCGGCAAAGCAGCGGGACCAGACAACATCCCGGCAGAGGCACTGAAGTCAAACGTAACAGCAACTGCCAAGATACTCCACATCCTCTTCAGTAAGATTTGAGATGAAGAACAAGTACCAACAGACTGGAAAAAAGGACTTCTTATCAAGATACCAAAGAAAGTCGATCTCAGCAAGTGCGACAACTACAGAGGCATCACTCTTCTCACAATACCAGGAAAAGTCTTCAACAGAGTATTGTTAAACAGGATGAAGGATTCAGTGGACGCCCAACTTCGAGACCAACAAGCTGGATTTCGTAAGGATAGATCGTGCACAGATCAAATCGCAACTCTACGTATCATTGTGGAACAATCAATCGAATGGAATCCATCACTCTACATCATTTCATTTTATTTATTTATTTAAACACATAAATATTGGTACAAGGAAGCACCAGATAAATATGCGCCTCACAAATCTCATTCGATTTGTGTGAGGGCTGTGATACTGCTCAGGTGCCCAAATCGAAGCAGGTGGTTTTCTTAGGGGGCCACACCCGGAGCCTTTGACCTGAATGTCTGATCCACAAAGCAGTGGAGCATCGTGAGGAAATGTAGTCCCATGGTAAACGGTGATCAACGGTTGATTCGTACGCCATTTGTTCCTTCGGGATACTGGAGCCCATGTGCACCATTGGTTTGGAATCAGGGTTTTCAAACTCCCCTAGGTGGACTCTCCATGTCCACCAACCCGGTTAAAGCTCCGGACATTCGCTTTTCGTCCTATCAATTTCGTAAACAACACCGGTGCCACGAGAAGGCAGTGAGTAGGACTTCCCTGGCAGAGGCTATATATTCGCTGGCCATATGAGAGCATTTCGAGAGAGAGGTGACTCTCCCCACTCTCGGCCGTACCAGGGCATTTGGGGGCAGGGTCAAGTTTGATTGACGTCCTGGTGATACGTACTATAGGACTGATCCCTAGATATACGATCTACATCAACTTCATCGAATACGAGAAGGCATTTGATAGTGTGGACAGGACGACACTATGGAGGCTTCTTCGACACTATGGCGTGCCTGAGAAGATAGTAAATATCATACGGAACTCCTATGATGGACTAAACTGCCAAGCCGTCCACGGAGGACAACTCACCGACTCGTTTGAAGTAAAGACTGGTGTTAGGCAAGGTTGCTTACTCTCACCGTTTCTCTTTCTCCTGGTCATCGACTGGATCATGAAGACGTCAACGTCTGGAGGAAAGCACAGGATACAGTGGACAGGCAGGATGCAGCTTGACGATCTAGACTTTGCGGATGATCTGGCTCCCCTATCACAAACGCAACAACAAATGCAGGAGAAAACGACCAGTGTAGCAGCAGCCTCAGCAGCAGTGCCCCAAATGCCCTGGTATGGCCGAGAATGGGGAGAGTCTACTCTCCCTCTCGAAATGCTCTCACATGGCCAGCGAATATATAGCCTCTGTCAAGGAAGTCCTACTCACTGCCTTCTCGTGGCACCAGTATTGTTCACGAAAGTGAGAGGACGAAAAGCGAATGTCCGGCGCTATAACCGGATTGGTGGACACGGAGGGTCCACCTAGGGGAGTTGGAAAACCCTGATTCCAAACCAATGCTCCACATGGGCTCCAGTATCCTGATGGAACGAATGGCGGAAGAACCTGTCATTGGTCAACGGCAACCATGGGACTGCATCTCCTCACGATGCTCCACTGCCTTGTGGATCAGACCTTTAGGTCAAAGGCTCGGGGTGTGGTCCCCTAAGCAAACCACCTGCTTCGGTTTGGGCACCCGGGCAGTATCACAGCCCACACACAAATGAATGAAATTATGAACTCTATTGACGATAATATCCCTGGTCATAATAAAAGCAAAACAATTAACATTATTATTACCTTTATTATTATTATTATTATTATTATTATTATTATTATTATTATTATTATTATTATTATTATTTACCATATCGCTAACTCACCCCCTTTTATCCCCAATTTGTGTAACCTTACTTTTCAAATTATGCAGCAGCTCGCCCATGGTGGAAAATCTGTCCTATCTAAACGATCTCCAGTCACTGTCTGGTTGAAAGTGAATGCTTCCACCGATAATGAATACTGAGGCAGTCTTTCTGAAACCACGTACGCCGTTCAAGCTGGCTTCCTTCAACGTTCGCACACTAATGCAGATCAGACAACAGATAGGGCTGGCTATGTCTTTGGAAGGTCTTAATGTTGATGTTTGTTGTCTATCCGAGACCCGTATTCAAGACTCTAGTGAAGTACTACAAATCCGCTCTCCATCTGTCGCCTCGAAGTGCTTGTTCCACGTGCGCTTATCCGGGGACCCTGTGGCATCTTCGTCTGGTCTTGCTGGCGTTGGTGTCGCACTAAGCGCTAGGGCTGAGGCAGCACTAATCGATTGGTTCCCCATTAACAGTCGGTTATGTGCTGTTAGATTAGAAAGTTCCATCAAAGTGAGAAGAAACCGGCGTGAGAAACGGTGTCTTTTCGTCATCTCCGCCTATGCTCCGACAGATTGCAGCCCGGATGCAATCAAGGATGAGTTTTACCATCAGTTAACAGTTCTTCTCCAGAAAGCGCGTTCGACAGATATTGTAGTACTAGCCGGAGACTTGAGTGCGCAGGTCGGGCGTCTAGGCACAGAAGAGAGTCGTCTAGGTGGCCGATGGGGACTTGTTGGTCGCCAGACAGATAACGGGGACCGTTTGCTGCAATTGTGTACAGACCACAACCTGTTTCTGGCCAGCACTAACTTCCGGCACAGTCATCGCCGGTGTGCCACCTGGCGTCCTCCCTCTGCATCCCAAGCCTGGACTCAGATTGATCACATCGCGATCAGCTACCGCTGGCGTGGTTGTGTACAAGACTGCCGCTCGTTTTGGAGTACCTATCTGGAGTCTGATCATGCCCTGGTCTGCGCCAATCTCACCTTACTTTTCAGTGGCCGAAGGATTGACCACCACCAACGGATTGATGTTAGTAAACTGGCTGCAACTTCTGTTGCAGCTAGCCTCTAGGCTAGCTACCACCCCACCAAAAAGTATAGATGAGCATTGGTTGTATCTTCACGACACCATGAAAATGGCGAGTAAAGCCGCTTGCGGCTTCGCGAAACGTCCCGCTTACAAGCACTGGGTTTCTTCTGGCTCCTTACAACTGATGGAAGCCCGTCGGTCTACTCCGGGTGACCGTGAGTTTGACCACAAACGAAGGCTGTTACGTAATGAAATCGGGCAAAGCTTGCGTAAGGACCGGGAAGCCTGGTGGTCGGAGCGTGCTAATGAGATGGAAGCAGCAGCTGAATCTGGTAACTGCCGGAAGCTCTTCCAACTCATCCGAGCCACTGGCAGCAAGAAGTCTGGTGTGAGTGAAACAATCTACGAGGATGACGGGATGCCAATCACTAACATCTGTCGACGTCTTGGACGATGGGCGGAATTTTTCGAAGGGCAGTTCAACTGGCCTGCTGCTCCGGCAACATTAACCAGCTTGTCCTGCCCCCCATGTCCGGTGACGACTGATCCACCAAACGAGGCGGAAGTCCGCAAGGAACTCCAACTCTTGAAACGTTATAAATCACCGGGCCCAGATGACTTACCTCCGGCTCTTTTTAAAGATGGTGGTGACTTTCTGGCTAAGCAACTGACTGCGTTGTTTGTAAAGGTTTGGGAGCAAGAAAGTGTTCCAACATCTTGGAATGAGTCGATAGTCGTCCTTATCTTTAAAAAGGGTTCACGTTGCTCCTGAAATAACGACCGGGGGATAAGTCTACTTTCGATTGCGTCCAAACTATTGACTTCTATCATTCTTCGTAGGTTGTTTAAAACCCGAGAACGATTGACTCGCGAGGAGCAGGCTGGTTTTCGTTCTGGTCGAGGATGCATTGATCACATCTTCACCCTCCGCCAAATGTTAGAACAACGTCATACTTATCGCAGGCCAACAATCGTAGTGTTTCTTGATATCAGGGCTGCCTTCGATTCGTTGGACAGGACTGTTCTCTGGGATTGTCTATTGAAGAAGGGTGTGCCTGAGAAGTTCATTAACATCTTAAAGGCCCTGTATACGAACACCTCAGGCAGAGTGAGGGCATACAACCACCTTTCTCCCTTGTTCCATTCGAGCAGTGGGGTTAGGCAGGGTTGCCCGATCTCCCCATTCCTCTTCAACTTTGCTATCGACGACATCCTGGAAACAGCTCTGATGGATGTAAGTAATGGCGGTGTGGATATGTTGCTTGAGAACGACTTCTCGACCTCGAGTATGCGGATGATATTGTCTTACTGTGCGATAATGCTCAAGCCATGCAATTCGCACTTAATCAGTTGGCAATCAGTGTCCGCAGGTACGGCATGTGCTTTGCACCCTCCAAGTGCAAAGTACTTCTACAAGACTGGCAGGATTCTAATCCTGTACTCACCCTGGATGGTGAGCAGATCGAAGTAGTTGAGAAGTTCGTGTATCTAGGTAGCTATATAAGTGCTGGTGGTGGCATGAGTGATGAGATTGATGCACGTATAAGGAAAGCCAGATCGGCTTATGCCAATCTGGGCCATCTTTGGCGCCTTCGTGATGTTAGTCTGGCTGTAAAAAGTCGGATTTACAACGCGTCGGTGAGAGCAGTTTTGCTCTATGCTTGTGAAACCTGGCCTCTCCGAGTTGAGGATGTTAGACGTCTCTCTGTGTTTGATCATCGTTGTCGCCGAAGGATTGCTGACATCCAGTGGCAACACCATGTTAGTAATGAAGAGGTTCGGCATCGTGTGTTCGGGCGCAGAGACGATAATTCAATTGGTGTCACCATCTTGAAACACCGACTTCGGTAGATTGGACATGTTTTACGAATGTCGTCCCAGAGACTTCCACGTCGTGCATTATTTGCCGACCCTGGGACTGGTTGGAGTAAGCGGAGAGGAGGTCAGTGTATGACATGGTGTCGTGGCATGAAAGAGAGCTGCAAGGGGCTAGCTTCCGTTGGTCCTTCACGACTCCCTGGTTGGGGTCCGAGAGATGGTGCACCCCAGTGGCTAGAGACGTTATCAGATATGGCTCAGAATAGAAGCCAGTGGCGATCCTGCTGCAACCTTCTTTTACTTTCTACATAAAGAATGGTTCTAACTTTCCTAACTGAAAGAGTCTTCTGGTTGTACATTTCAGCCCGCCTTATCTTTTCATCCCTTCTCTTCCTACTTTCATTATTTTGTGTGGCGCATATGTACCTGGTGCCCTTTTGTACCAATATATATGTGTTTAAATAAATAAATAAATAAACTCAGCAGCAGTAGGTCTCAATATAAACAAAGGGAAAAGCAAGACTCTCCGATTCAACACAATATGTACCAATCAAATTACACTTGATGGAGAAGCTTTGGAGGATGTGGAAACCTTTACATATCTGGGCAGCATCATTGATGAACACGGTGGATCAGATGCAGATGTGAGGGCAAGGATCGGCAAAGCAAGAGCAGCATACTTACAACTGAAAAACATCTGGAGCTCAAAACAATTGTCAACCAACACCAAGGTAAGAATTTTCAATACAAATGTCAAGACAGTTCTTCTGTATGGGGCGGAGATGTGGAGAACTACGAAAGCCATTATCCAGAAGATGCAAGTGTTTGCTAACAGCTGTCTAAGCAAGATACTTCGGATCCGTTGGCCAGACACTATCAGAAACAAGTTACTGTGGGAGACAACAAACCAGATTCCAGTGGAGGAAGAAATCAGGAGGAAGCGCTGGAAGTGGATAGGGCACACTTTGAGGAAATCACCCGATTGCGTCACAAGACAAGCCCTCACATGGAATCCTGAATGTCAAAGGAGAAGAGGAAGACCAAAGAACACATTACGCCGAGAAATAGAGACAGACATGAGAAGAATGAACAAGAACTAGAAAAGAAGGCCCAGGACAGAGTAGGTTGGAGAAAGCTGGTCGGCGGCCTATGCTCCATTGGGAGTAACAGGCGTAAGTAAGTAAGTAAGCTAATGAATACTGTATAGTTGTAATTTAATCATTTTAAAAACTGATTATAAAAATTAGTTTTGAACCAGGGGGGAATATAATGCACAGAGAAGTCCTACTCACTGCCTTCTCGTTGCACCGCTTTTGTTTACGAAGTTGAGAGGACGAAAATCGAATGTCCGGCTCTTTAAACGCGTTGGTGGACACAGAAAATCCACCCCCAAAAGTTGGAAAACCCTGATTCCAAACCAATGCTCCACATGGGCTCCAGTATATTGAGGGAACAAATGGCGTATGCTTTAATCAATGGTCACCGGCTACCATGGGACTGCATCTCCTCACGATGCTCCATTGCCTTATGGATCAGACCTTTAGGTCAAAGGCTCCGGGTGTGGCCCCCTAAGAAAACCACCTGCTTCGATTTGGACACCTGGGCAGTATCATAGCCCTCACACAAATCAAATGAGATTTGTGAGGCGTATATATATCTGGTGCCCCTTTGTACTAATATTTATGTTCAAATAAATAAATAATGCACAGAACAACCACATATGTGTACCTATAATCTAGTATACAGAAATTCTCATGATTACTTAATTCTATGTACATTTTAACCGTAGAGATGAAAATAATGGAGACAAACGGATAGATCTTGGTTTAAATCTTAAAGCTAATAAGTAGTGTCAATTCCTATACACGAAAAATCAGTAATTAACAATAAAATATCATAAAAAGGATCATATTAAGATAATCACAGAATGAATACCTCACTAGAAAGACTTCGCAAGCATGCATTTCGAACATGTGTACTTAAGTCAGCGTCTTTTGGAAACTGAGTAGAAATATATGAAAGACTGGCAGAATGATCATAGCTAATTATTCCTAGTTCATCACGCAACAAAATAGATGAGCATGCTTTACAAGCTGGGTGTGATTGCTGTTGCTGTTGAGTAATGTTTGATGATATCACTGAGAATCTTGACGCTAATGTTGAGAAAAGAAAACAATAAAATATGTAACAAACAGTTGGATGGTTTGAAAGTGATTTGCAACACGAACTGATATCAGCTAGGCGATCAGTCAAAATTAAAGCATTGGCAGACAACCAAACATAAAAAGTGAAGTAATCTTAAAACTTAAAATTGATCGACGCTATTTTAACCAGGTTTTCATCCACATCATTACCTAAGCTAACTACCAATTGAGCATGATTATTGTGCTGACTTCAACCAGAACGTCTGAACCTATTGACAGGAGTTACTATGACGGTCAGTGACTTAGTAGTTTGGCAATACATCGCTCAACAGCCTCCACAATACTTCTAATCCAATGTTGTGTTGGATATGACTGCACATTGGGCGCAAATGACGCACACAAAAATAGAAAGTTTGAGGTATATGGTTATCAAGAAAAATATTCTAGACGAGAAATAACTACCACTGTCTTACTGTATATGTATAAAGCATGACGTATGAAAGTAGAAGACACAGGCTGTAAGTATTTGATCACAGGAACCTTCGATGAACTGTTCTAACAGCGGGACCATCAGTGAGTAATCTCGAGGTTTACCGTAACAAGCTGCCCGGCAGAAAAAGCAATTTCGCTGATGATTATAAACATTTAACGGTCAAAGTTATAAGAATATGTTTTATATGAGCATAACCGCCGACGTTGTGATATGATTAGGAACTGCTCAGTGACGCAGTTGCATTTATTTTCTAGAATCCTTTAAATATTGACTTAAGTATAATTTCCTACTTTCCGTCATGTAATAACATTGGTCCCTTTTGAAATGTGCTTCTCACGTTTATATTCGATCATTCGTTGACAAGTCCCATCCTATGTTTCGCACTTTGTTGGTAATCCATCAAGGTACTGATGTAAAGTGTTGGGACATCAACCAAGAAAAACTCAGGTTAAGAAAGGGGCAAATCCAAAGAATAAAAAGTACGGACTAATATTGATTCTCGATACCTAAGAGCAGAGAAAGAATAAACGCATTTTCATTACTGTAACCGCTTTTCATACACATCGTGTAGTACCTGAAACCATATCGTCCTGACCCAGCCAGGGAGTCCGAACCTACTCTTAAAGTTCTGTACAACAGCCAATGTATTTATGGGTTGTTACTACGTCTTGGTTCGCCCACTCCTAGTTTTCTTTGAACTTATTCCTATCCCAACCAGCATTGAATGTCCAGGTAATCGGTGATTAGACATGTGTAATACGGCTGCGAAACATGGCCATTAAGAGTAGAAGATACTCGTAGGCTACTGGTATTTGACCACAGATGTCTTAGAAATATTGCTCGCATCTGCTGGGATAACCAGGTAAGTAATAGTGAGGTTAGACACAGGGTATTAGGGAATGATGGTAAATCAGTTGATGAGGTGATGAATCTTCATCGACTGAGATAGTTGGGCCACGTGTTACGTATGCCTGAACACCGATTACCACGACGCGCAATGCTGACTAGTGTGGGGAATGGTTGGAAGAGAGTTAGGGGAGGCCAAATTAAAACACGGCATCAGTGCTTGAAGTCATGTTGGTAGATGCAGACTACTTGGTTAGGGTCCACGTGACTATCGTAACCAATGGTTGGAAACTCTGTGTGACATGGCTCAGAATCGATCACAATGGCGTAGGTGTATACACTCTTTATCTTCCCTTAAACCTTGAGATTGAAATTGCTTCATAACGTTCTTCCTTCCTATATTATATCCTTATATACAACCTTTCTTTATATACTACCACCACTAAATTAATTACTTCTATGAATCCGGTGTTCATCTTGTTGTGCTAACGAGGTATGGCAACTTGGACCGATGCATATATTTGCCTGGTCCTACGTTGTCGCTGACTGACCGACTGACATGATTGAAATCGACTAAAATGGTAAATCACTAGGAAATAAACAAGTAATCATATCAAAAATTGTATTTAAATTTATCACTACTCTTCAACCTGAAGTTACAAATCAATTACATCGGGTTTAAAACTTCCAATTACAGGTAGAAAAAACAACACATAAGCAACAAAACCACATACATGAAGATGGTAAAGGGATAGGTGGAACATCTATCCCAGTAAGAATAGCATCATCGCTACTTTGTAGAGCATGATTAGATAATTTTCTTTGATATGGGTTTACATCTTTATTATTATTAGCTGTGGCAGTAGTAACATCGGGTACATTATTTACAGATAACTTTGATTGTGGTTGTTTAAATGACTGGGTACACATTATTACTGATGGACCATGTTGTTCACAGAAATGACATAAAACAACAATGGCGTCCATAGTTTTTTTCACGCCATTTAATAATCGTGATCTGAAAACTTGGGGAAAAAAATAGTCGTACATGAACTTAGTGAATACAGATGAATGCACGATGATTTTTGCATCAGATAAATTGATCAGAAATAGGTCTAAAGAGGAAAACTTAGTTAACCAATGGACGAGTGATCCTCATTTAATTCTGTAATAACATAACTGTTATGCGTTTGTATGTCGAATAATTCGTGCGTAAAAGTGGGTAGTTTATCAGGTAAAAAGCACGAATCTGTAGGGAATGATTTTTTGGTTACAATCTGTCAATATTTTGATAGGTTATAAAATCCACAGTTCCTACAGAATCATTAACGGTTAAATACTCGTTTTTTTAAAGTATACCGGCGGAAAGTCACTACTTTTGACGATAAATTCGACAATATTAATGACTAGGCAGATATAAGTCTATAACAAGCACTTTAATACCTGTAGGACGTACTTTGTTGAGGTTATGAGCCTTGTAAATTAAAGGCGCCTAAAATGCTAGAGAGGATACAATTTTATCTTTTTTACGCTCTGATGCTTAGTGCGAGGCTGGAACGCAATGTCACATGCTCTCTAAGCATGAGGACATATACAGAAAATTTCGAATAAACATATTGGGAATGAATCTACAACGCCAGACTGAAAGTCTGAAAACAAGTTTCTGAGATACAGCACAAACATCGATAGACACTTTATAGTTATACTAAGGTGTTTCGACCTCTACCTACAAATGTCAACTTGCACCAGATACATTTATTCGGACAGATATAAGGTTTTACTGTTTGAGGCCTTCTTGAAAATAAGTTCTTCAGAATGAAATTATTAATTATATTAACAGTCAAACCTTTTATAAGTTTATTGGAAAGTATTTAGTATCTAGCATAATTAGTTAGAAAGAAGCTTGCATTAAAGGGCAGAATATTAGTCAAAATGTAGGACGGAAACTGAGTGTTTCACATTTTCCGCACGTTAACACTTAAATTGCCACAAATAATTATTCGTAGATGGGATCTAACCTCTTACATGATGTTAACATCACGTTGGTTGGGGGATTCCCTAACCAACATATAACAACCCACTATTGCTAGTAGTTAATTTTTGCAAGTAATCACCTGCTGCATGTATTAAGTTGTGAGGTGAAATATAGTTTTGTTAGTGAGATAGTAGCAAAGTATCCTACTAAATCTGCTGAATAATAAAACACAAAGCAACAAACTGTTTCAACAACACGTTACTAACTATTTTCCAACGACAATTACCCAGTCCTACCAAAAACCACGAGTAACGCGGTTTCTATGTCCATGCATATCAATTAGGAATTATAAGCATATAAAATCACCTATATAAAATGACCGTCCTTACAGGATGAGCTACCAGATTGCGTAATGTAGCGCTAAAAAAATGTGTGCGCCAAAGGGTCGGATGAACACATAGGTCAAATAGTGTAAGTGATTGTGATGAGAATGAAAGAAGCTTAAACGCAACAAGCTTCTGTGTTTATTAGCAGTGGAATACCGATGACTTGGAATGAGAATCAAGATATGTGGAAAAGATAGAAAAAAGATGGTGAAGATTTGTAGCTCAGGTGAATGACTTTGATAGAGTTTTGTTCTGTGAACTGAATGATTCGTTCGTGGAGCTTTCATCGTTATTCTGAACGACATCATCAGCAAAAACTTCAGGTTGGAGTGAAGTGTTCGAATTTCTCCACATATGGCTTACAGCTTTTTCTGTAAACTTTAATGTTGACTGGCAATCATCAACCTGTAATTGTTTACCTCTTCATTTTGATTGTATCTCCCATTGATTTGATTTTCGGTCCTATATTCATTCATAACTTCTCTGATTAGTTGGCAGGTCGGATCGATATCAATGCATTTGTTGATTGCTGATTGACCTGAGTACCAAATTTCTAGTAATTCTCTGGTGTTTTCAGAACTGTCTCTATCCAACATCTCAACATTTTCCCTGTCGAACGTATGTCCACAATTTTTCCTATGGATTGATATAAGCGACGAAACGTCGTGGTGTCTGACTGCTAGTTGATGTTCGTGTAGGCGAATGCAAAGTGGGCATCCTTTTTTTCAATGCGATGCTTTGCTCAGTTGGTATAATTTATTTCTTTGATAGTGCTTGGTTTTTTCTTTTGTCATTCCCCCTTTGGTTTGCATGAAATTTTATGAAGTGACTTTGTTGGTTTGTGTGCTACACCTATTCCAAATGGCTTCAGCAAACTCGCTGTTTTTTTCTGATATGTCAGATGAACAAAGATGGGCTTGAGAACACTACTCGTAACATTGCTCCGAAGGACTTTTCCTTTTAGAGCAGAACATAACAGTATCACTTGCTACGTGAATACGGGGGATTTGTACTCCAAAGGTCATAGATGACGAACGGAGCCTCTTTAAGGAAGTCCTTATCGATAAGGAGTATTTTTCGATATTTATTTGCAAGAATATGAAACGTAAACTACCTAAAGTATGAATAACCTCGACTGAAAAGTAAATATTTTAAGTGAACACTGATTTTAAGAGGGATGAAGCTACAAACATACTATAGAGGAGAATTTTCGTGTCTATTAAGAGAACGTTCTTCTCAGCAACGTTGTGACTAGTGTTCTACAGCCGATATTTGTTCATCAATAAACTTAAGGATGAATTATCTCATCTGACCAAATCTATGTGCATTTCCCGATTTACCTGCTTCTGTGGAGCCAAGTATATAGGTCGACCTTTACTCAAAAGAATTTAAAAGAACCACCTTCGTGGCTCAATAAGAACCTTAGTGATCGAATGCGTTACGAACACATGTCACTCAAATAAAGAGAATTCTGCGTTAAAAATAATCTACAAGGTAAGTAGAAAGCTGCGAAAGGCAGTTATATTTCGTCTCATTAACGTTGCCGAAACAATAGCTATGCATATAGGGAAATCAGAACTGTATATCCAAGAGCATTTGGTACAACCTCTTCTTCTATCATGGTCTTAATGTCACAGTACTTGCTTTCTTTGTCATGCTTTCCTCCATTTATTGCCATCTGCATACCCTTACATCTTCTTCATAGAACTTTAACCCCCAACTGGTTCATTTCTATCTCTATGATCCTCCTGATTACATTTCACATTTTATGGTACCATGTTGAGCAATCTTTTCTTAGTTATTACTTCCCTACTTATATTCAAGATGAATACTTAAGCGCTTAACAATAAAAGTTTTTTTTTGGTTAAAAATGTTTTTAAATCATTTTTTATTGCACCTCACTGTTACCATGTTTAACAGAATTTTATTATCACAACTGTTTCAAATATTATCATCCTAGAAACATAAGCATATATGGTTGCGATTTTACGGCTTTGAAAATAAGTTCGCAGATAAGAGGACACTTAGCTAAACCAATCTTATATCTTTTATGTCTCAATCGGTATATTCCGTTTGTTTAAAAATGATTTGAGGCACTATGCCAAGTGCCTAATAATATATTGTGTGTTTCATCGACCCGATTCGCGTTAGAGAATACCAGAAAAAGGCAATTCGATTCCTTATAAGTTTATCTCGCACATTCGTTTCCCCATACAGACAATAAAGGAAGGAAGCAAGGAATCAAACTGGAGAGAACGAACATGTGAACTTGCTATAGCACTCGTTACAAGCGTTATTGTAGCTGAAAATAGACAGTGGATAATATGGCAAAGAGACAGATTTTGAATAAAATAATTAGTGACAGACAAACAGGTACAAGTGCACACAAGGTGCATAAGCGCATGAATTCGAGGTCATGAAAATAAGACGTGAATGTGTGCTGAACGTCACTGTTCCATATAAAAACATTGGAGTCATCATGCAACTAAAAATGACTCAATGACACATGCCTTTGGAGTTATTAAGGTCTTTTCAGTAGCCACGATGAATCATGAAGTTGTAAAATTGTACTAGAAACACATGGTCCGACCTTGGCGTATAGAATACTGAAAAATGATTCTGAAGCTCATGTGTATTCCCCTACTTCCTGCCTGATCAGGATACATCAAACAACATGGTAGGTGGCTATAGAAGCCAAGGACGACTAAAATGTCTGCGGTATACAATCCTTCATACTAAATAATCCATTATTGGAACCTGCTACACTAAGTGTCAGACTGTTCAAATGACTCATTCAAAGAGAGCTTAAATACCTACAAAAGCTTACTAACACAGGCCTTCATCTTCTCCTCAATACTCAAATTTGAAGCTCTACCACGTAGCCGCTACTATTACAGAACAGGTTACTTTTCTCTACAGCTTGTACAAGGAATATGGCAAGAATCATAGATGCGAACACTCTTAAAATAACCAGACATAGATCGCTCGGTATCAATCGTTTAATATTCCTTTTTTCGCTTTTCGATGTGGCCTCATCGATCCCTCACCAAAAATGTCCACTTTTCCGCTACCATATTGAAATACTTTAACGCTTTCAAGCCTACGCAAAGTGACTCCAATACCCTTCAAGTGTCTCTCAGATTCATTTATCTTAGTAATTCTTCTCCTTTGAAAATGTTGTGTCGCGTACTTGTGTAGTCGTATCCGGCCCTAACCACACTGTCCTCGAAGTTGAACATGAATTGAGAAAATAGATATTCAACATTTAACGTAGAGTAAACACCAACAATGGAGAAGGCAGGAAGAAGTAATTCAATCCAATGAGTCGTATGGCATGGCTCAGCCTTGTAGGCGTGGTCATTCTGTACAACTCTTTTATTCATAATAAATATATTGTTCTATCTCCAACCTAAATGTTCTATCCATCACATGTGATGATTACTATAAGACGAGTAAGGGTAGACAACGATCTGATTTTCATGTACACCATGGCAAATCTGCTGTTTTAGGGTTAGGTGTATAATTAGAGCTGTACTAATAACGACGTAGAACATAATCTTACACCTACTCCACAAACTTTCTCACACTTTACTTCTTATTCTACTGAATAGTATGCAAATTAATAG